GGCCGGCAGCGGGGTGGCCTCGGCTTGCGGCTGTTCCAGGCGAGGGGGGGGAGCTGCCGCAGAGGTAGAAGATTCAGGGGGAAGGAGGAGGTCGAGGATGAGGAGGAGGGAGAGGAGGAGGAGGAGGAGGAGGCGGAGGAGGAGGAGGAGGAGGTTGGCCAAGAGCGTCCCGGGCAACAAGCGACCCCGTGTAGCTCCTATGTAGGCCGTATGCAGAAAAGGCGGATGAAAGGTCGGCGAGGGCTTGTCCCTCTACAGGGGGAAGATTCAAAAATGATATTATAAAAAGAAAAACAAAAAACTGGGGACGATGCTTTGACCATTTTTTGGTTTACCATGTTGGAGTTTTTGCTTGGAGTATTTTTATTTTTTTGTCGAAAATCCCCCTGTAGGGGGACAGGCCCGACGTAAGTCTGGGCCTCCTGCGGCAGGTTCATGTCGTGTCGACCGGCGGCGACCCCGCCAGCGGCGTTCCACGTGGAATGCCGGCGGCGGCCAAGAATCGGTCGATGTTGAACAGCCCTGACGTTTCGGGAGCGGCCGATCGTTCAAGGTTGAACGGTCCCCGCGGTGTCGGGATCCAACGCCTGGGTCGGCACGACACGAACTTGCCGTAGATGAGGTCGGCGTAGATGGGGTCGGAGGATCGCGTCGCATCGCCGATGCGTCGGCGATGCGGCTCAATGCGGAGCCCGATTTTCTCCGCGCTGGCGTCGCCGATGCATCGCCGATGTCGCCGATGCGTCGCCCATGCGTCGGCGATGCATCGCCGACGTGTCGCCGATGCGGCGCGATCCTCCGACCCCCGTCTACATCCGGGGCGCGACGCGGAGGCGTGCGCGCGGACCGAGCGGGCACGCGGCCAGGGCGCGCGGGCGGGCGAGGCGAGGCGACGGGGCCCGTGCGCGCGGGCGGGCGATCGGGCGCGGGGGTCCGCGAGCGGACGAGCGGGCGGGCGGGCGGGCGGCTGCACGAGCTGTCACAGAGGGGGGGGGGCGACGCGTCGAAGGACAAAAGGCTGTACAAACGTTTTGTTGCGTCGGCGGCCAAGGCAGAGGGGAACTGCGCATTGCGATCGATGGCCTGAACAGGGGGTGCCGCTGGGCCGAACTGTGCCACCGTGCAGGAGGAGGAGGGAGGAGGGACGCGGCCGAAGAGAGTTGCGCAAGCATGCGTAAATTGTCGCAGCTCCACGCGGATTTCTGGGATCTGCGATGGGGCCCCCTGGTAGCGCCACGGTCGCCGCCGCTGGCGCGCGCCGCGCGCCCGGGAGGGGGGGGGTCAGCGCAGATGTCCGTAAGCCGCGCCGACCTCCGAAAGCTCAATGTTATTCGTGTCTGGTCCCCCTGGGAAGGAAGGGAGGGAAGGAGGGAGGGAGGCGGGACGCGGCACGGGAGGGGTGAGGGAAGAGGCAGGAGGGAGGCGGAGGGGCGAAGTGGGTGGGGGAGGGGGCACGGCGCGGAGGAGGACGGGGGAGGGGGCGGAAGTTTGATCAATTATGGGGGCGCGAAGGTCATGGAATGGCACATGGCGGGTCGCCGTCCGGGCCAGAGCAGTGGTCTTTCTCCAGAGGTGCGGTGCGCGGGCGCGAGGGCGCGAAGATAACCGCGCGCCGCACATTGCGTGGCGCGATACTCGAAGTTGGGTGACCTGGCGGAGGAAGCAGGCAGGAGTGGGGAAGGGAGAGGTGGAGGGAGGTGGGGAAGGGAGGAGGCATGAGGGGGGAAAGGAGAGGTCGAGGGAGGGGGGAGGCGGGAGGATGGAGGAGGATCGGATCGGATTGGCCTTGTCACTTCGCTTGTGTCTCGCGGCGCAGTCTACGAGCACGGCGAGTACACGCGTCCTCGCGAGTAAGCCATCAGCAGTCGTGCCACCCACGTGCACAAGGTCGAGGCTGGAGGACAAAGAAGACGAGGAGCATGAGGAAGTGGGAGAAGGCTGAACAGGAGGAGGTGGAGGAGGTGAGATGAGGAGGAGGACGGAGAGGATGAGGCGGAACACGGGGAAGAGGAGGAGAAGGAGAAGGAGGTGGGAAGGGGAGGACGATGAGGATAGGAAAACGGCAATGGAGGACCAGGAGCAGGAAGAGGGTTTGTTGCCGTTGCTGCTCCGACGTCCTCCCTCCTCCTACCTCCGCCGTCCGCCGCTCTCCTCATGTGTCTTGTTCCCTTCTCCTCATCCCGCCCTCTCTCCCAACTCCTGTATCCTCCCTGTCCAGCCTCCTGATCAGACTGCTTCCGGACTTGCCAGGGTTGTGTGGTGGAGAACGTTGCTTCCCAGGTCGCTTCTGGTACCCTCCTGCCTCTCTCTCGTTCTCTCCCTTTCTCTCTCTCTCTCTCTCTCTCTCTCTGTCTCTCTCTGCTCCGCGCCGCGCCCGCTTCATCGCCCTCGATGCCACTGCCTGCCCCCTCCTCCTCCCCCTCCTCCGCCTATCCTTATTCCTTATAAGAATATACTCCTACTCCCCCCTCAGGCCGGCAGATAGCGGGCGCATCCGGGTGGTCCCATCCTAACCTGTAAAAAACAATACAAAATCAACATGTTTCTTATTTTTTCCTCTCGACATGGACGTCTTGTCGTCCACGGCGATAATCCATTGCAAAAAATACGACAAAGAGCACACGCGCGCGTTCATGTCAGAATCCTACCGAACACAGTGTGTTTGCAAGCATTTCAACATAAAAACATCAAAAATCCAATGCTTTTTTCACAAAAAAAATATACAAATTTCCCGCCCGGGCTCTCTTGCTGAAATCATAGGAAAACCATAGGAATCTTAAGAATTCTGTCAAATCCAGCGATTTCACGTCATCGCGCGGTGCACTCGCGATGCTCTGTCATGCACCCAGGCCGCGAATCCTGTGCAAAAAATATTACAAAGAGCACACTCGCGCGTTCATGTCAGAATCCTACCGAATACCGTGTTTTTGCAAGCATTTCAACATAAAAACATCAAAAACCCAATGCTTTTTCACAAAAATGCTTTGGGGTGTCCTGTCAGACCGTCGGGCTTCCTCCGGCCACCTCTGGCTTCCTGCGGTGTACCGGGCCATTCTCGACTCGTCTGGCAATGCGTGCGCGGCATTCAACACGCGCTCGCCAGTTCCCGTCGGCAACCGCCATCGCGGCCGCATCAGCTGTACCAAACCGGCTGGCCGGTGTGACTTCGGCCCCCAGTTGTGCCAGCTTTGCTTCTTATGTTGTGGGAGGGCGGGTGGGACTGGGCATGCCATGCTTGACTCGCTCGAGCTGGCTAGCTTGACTCCTACTCCTACTCCTCCTCCTTCTTCTCCTCTTCCTCACCCTCCTCCTCCTCCTCCTCCCCTCCTCCTCCTCCTCCTCCTCCTCCTCCTCCTCCGCCTCCTCCTCCTCCCTCCTCCTCCTCCTCCTCCTCCTCCTCCTCCTCTCCTCTTCCTCCCCCTCCTCCTCAGCCTTCTCCTCCTCCTAATCCTACTCCTTCTCCTCCTCCCCCTTCTCCTCCTCCTCCTCCTCCCTCCTCCTCCTCCTCCTCTCCTCCTCCCCTCCTCCTCCCCTTCCTCCTCATCCCCCTCAGCATCATCAGCATCATCATCACCATCATCATCACCATCATCAGCAGCAGCATCATCATCATTATCCTCCTCCTCCTCCTCCTCCTCCTCCTCCTCCTCCTCCTCCTCCTCCTCCGCCTCATCCTCCTCCCGACCTGGTGCCCCAAGCCTCGGGGCTTCTGTGGGTGAGCTTCCAGACTTCGAAGTTGTCCATGCACAATGTGGTCCAGGCCCCCGTTGTCGGTGATGAGTCGGGGGTCCCAGTTTTGCTTTGCATCTCGTGCGGTGCGGGCGTGCAGCATAGTCACAGGCCTGGGAGAGGTCTTGCGGGGCCCTGTATAGGACCGAAGCACCCAGCTCTTGCGAGCCAGCGCTCCAGGCGTCGATGAAACCTGCACCCTAATTCGACGGTGTCCCCTCCTCCGATGTTCGGCGATTGTGTTGAGCCGTTTGTGGAGGTCCGAGCGTCGTGGAAAGGGAGGCTGATTACTTCGGACGCTTCGGAGCGGTGTGCTGACCCTGTCCCAGAGTATGGGTTGGATTTCCCCGGGGCCTTCGACATGTATCGTGTAGCCCAGCTCCACGGCGTTGGTGACCCCCGCGAGGCGGTCATGGTTTGCCGTGCAGAGAGGCCTCTCAAAGGTGAGGCTCGACTCATGGCTGGTGGGAGTGATGAGCACGAAGACCCTGATTACTAAGGGATGATGATGAGGAGGAGAAGAGGAGAAGAGAAGAAGAGGAGAAGAGGAGACGAGGAGAAGAGGAGAAGAGGAGGAGGGAGGAGGGAGGAGGAGAGGGAGGAGGGAGGAGGGAGGGAGGAGAGGGAGAGGGAGGGAGGGAGAGGGAGAGGGAGAGGAGGAGGAGGAGGAGGAGGAGGAGGAGGAGAGGAGAGGAGGAGGAGGAGGGGAAAGGAGGAGGGGAAAGGAGGAGGAGGAGGAGGAGGAAGATAATGAGGAGGAAGCGGAGGAGGAGGAGGAGGAGGAGGAGGGGGTAGGAGGGTGGAGGAAGGAGGATGAGGATGATGATGAGGATGATACGGTGGAGGAGGAGGAGGAGGAGGAGGAAGAGGAGGAGGAGGAGGAGGAGCAGGAGGAGGAGGATGAGGAGCAGGAGGAGCAGGAGGAGCAGGAGGAGAAGAAGGAGGAGGAGTGTCCTGGAGAGATAACTTCCGGATTCCGAGGTGAGGTTCGTGTGATTTTTTGTTGGCCAGGGATGAAGACTAAAAAAGAAATCGACGCGGAATTCACTCCGTTCGTCACTCGCTGGTTCCAGGTTTTGTACTGGCAGAAATCCACGCAAAATCCGCTGCAGCGCGTCTGCAAGGTCGGTGCGGTGACAGATCGCCCGAGAGCCAGACGACGAGGATCATTGGGGAGGACAGGCTCAGAGGGGGATGCAGCGACCCTCCATCGCCAATTCCATGCCGCCCCGATGGCCCACGCCGCCCAGAAACGTCGGGTTTCGCTATCGGGGGCCTGTCGCCGATCTATCCGCGATGCGTCGGCGATTCCAGGTCGATGTTCCCTCCCCTGAGCCATTCCCTCACCAGTCCTGAGTAAAAAGCTCGGAAGCACCGAGTGGGAGCGCTGCTATTGTTGAGGGCGGGCTTGCGGTACTGAGACGAAAGCGCCATTCCTGAGTAAAAGGCGAGGAAGTATCGAGTGTGAGTGCTGGTGCTGTTGGAGGGTTGCTTTTCGGCGGCGAGCAAGTCACCGGTCCTGAGTGAACAGCGAAATGGTCCCAAGCGGAAGCGTTGTTGTGGGGGGGCTGGTTTCTGCGCAACTCGAAACGTTGGAGCGTGAGCCTCGTGTTCAAAAGACTGGCGGCCTATCCCGCCACCGCGCTTGGGCCTCTTGGAGGGCCCTTTGGGCGCCTCTTGAGGCCTCTGGCGGAACTTTCGGAGGGCCCCAGGAACGCGTAGGGTTGGAGAGATCTTGGGCATTTGGCATGGCGCACCATCAGGAGGCCAGCAAGTACGGCAAGACGTTCTGCATATTCATTCGATTTCAGCCTCCAGCAGGCTCATTCGCCACACCCCCGGAGCGCCGAAGAATTCCGCCAAGTCGGCGGTCCGCGCCCTCAGGAATCATAAAAAACCCTTCGACCTGCCAGAGTTGCCTGATCTCTGGGGCGCTCCGCTGCGTGCGCAGGTCACTGCGACGGGTCATCGGGTCGTGGTCTCTTTTCTGTGGAGGCCGCCGTCTTTGTCTTCGGCCTCGTTCTTGTGGAGGCCGCCGTCTTTGTCTTCGGCCTCGTTCTCTCCTTGCAGGGCTGGGCTTGGCTGGATGCGGCGCTGGCTGCGACCGCTGCCCTACACCTTAGGCGTTGCTTAAGAAAACCCAAGTTTTCGGCCAGAGTCTCGATTATTCTTAACGTTTCAATGTAAATCCTAAGATTTGAGTAGACATTCTGGATTTTTATTAAAATTCTGAGACTATGAATTTCTTAACCCATGATTTCTGAAGCATTTCGCAGGGTGTAGGCCCGCCAGCCCTGGTTGGAAGAGTAAGCGGGGGCAGCGCGGGCGGGTGGCGGGAGGAGGGAGTCCTTCCTCTACTCCTCCCTCCTTCCTCCCTCCCTCCCCCTCCCCCTCCTCTCCCGCGTCCCCCCTCCTTCCCCGCCTCCCCCTCCCCAGGAGGGGGGGGGGTGGGGCTCCTCATCGCCGTGTCTTCCGAGGCCATGCTCAGGGCCGAGGGCGTCTCGGCGGAGCGGATGGCCTACGACAGACCGTCGCCGAAGTTCATCGCGTTCCTGCAGGCCGCCGCGGCATCTGCGCCGCTGGGAGAGGGCAGGGCCGCGCCGCCTCGGCGCGGCGGCGACGGTGGCGCGGGCGTTCACGGTGGATCACCTTCCATCGACTAGACGCAAGAGTGACCTTTCGCCGGAGTGACCTTTGGTGCGGGCCCAATGGGGCCCCCCGATCGCCGAACGCGAGGCGGCAGCGGCGTCTTGCGCGCTTGTGCTTGGCCCCCCCCTGCGGACCCCAAAGAGCCGCGCACCGAAGGCCACTCTTACCCACAGGGTCACTCGTTGCGCGTGGTCGATATTCCAGGAGCTCGCTTCGGGGCCCAAGGCCCACGGCTCGGAACAAGTCAAGAGGGGAAAAAAAACACAGACACAATTAATCGTCGATTCCCAGGAAAATATGCGAAAATATGACAAAACAGTTCGCATGGCAGCTGCGTTGGCCGCGTTCCCCCGATGAGACAAGGAGCTTGAAACGTCGGCGCGGCAGCGGCAAGAGGACGCGGCACCAGCACGAGGATGAGCACAGAAGAAGGTCAAAGCAACGAAAGAGACGATGCGTCGATGCATACCAGAAACCACTTACAATCAGTGACGACACCCTCGCAGGTCGCCGCCCCCCCCTGGAATGGCGAGGTCGAATCTGAATTGGGTAGAGCTCCACTGCGCCAGCCCCCAGCAGCTCTCGAAAGAGTTGATTGTTTTTGCGGGCCGCAGCCCCCCCAGAGATGGCCAGATCTAATCTGAATCTGGGTAGGGCCCCACTGTCCCCCCCAGCAGCCTTCGAAACTGGTGACAGTTTCGCAGATCGCAGCCCACCCCCAGGGATGGCGAAGTCGAGTCAAATCTGGATCGGGCCTCGCGATGTTGCCTTCCCCCACAGCAGCCTTCGAACGCGGCGACAGTTTCGCAGATCGCGCTCCCCCAGGGATGGCGAAGTCGAATCTGAATCTGGGTAGACCCCGCTATGTTGGACCCCTCAGCAGCCCTCGAAAGTGGCGACTGTTTGGCCGATCGCAGCCCCCCAGGAACGGCGGGGTCTAATTTAAGTTTGCGTGGGGCCCCACTCCTCTGGACCCAGCAGCCCTCGAAAACGGCAACGGTTTCGCAGGTCGCAACTCCCATCCAGGGATGGCGAGGTGGACTATGAATCTGGGTAGGGCCCCGCAAAGCTGGCCCCCCCAGCAGCCATCGAAAGTGGCGACAATTCCGCAGGTCGCCCTCCCCCGCCCCCACTCCCCAGGAATGGTGACGTCGAATCTGAACCTGGGTGGGGCCCTCCACTATATAGGGCCCCGCAGCAGCTTTCGACATTGCCGACAGTTTCACCAATCACGGCCCCCCCCCCAAAAAAAAACAAACGGCGAGGTAAGAGAGCTGGCAGGCGCAAACTAGGTAGCAGACAGGAGAGAAGAGGAGAAGGCAGACAGTAGGACGGCGACAACAGCAGGCAAGAGGAGGGAGGCGGGAGAAGGAGAAGATATGCGAGTAACGCTTTATTCTCAACTAGAACCTAACCGCGCAGGGTTGGGGAAAAAACAATACAATTTGCCCGCGGTGCCAACGAGCATGACCCCAGATGTTGCCCCAAAGCGCATGTTGCATTTGTTGCTGGCAGGCACTGCGGGGGGGCAATGGGTGCCCGCATGGGTTCGGGTTGGCTGCAAGTCGCCTGGGGGAGGGGGTGCTCGTTACTAGGGAGCAGTGATCAGTCGATCTACCCACAAGCCGCGAGCCGTCCTGCTCACTCCCACCCGCCCTCCCGACACATCAATGGCACCCGAGTCTCAGTACGAGCATGGGCCGCCAACGACAATCATCGGGAAACGATGCAGACGCCTGCCAGGTACGCGACGCCCGCGACATGCGCCACGCGTACCAGGGCACCCCATACATATAACGCAAAGTGATCGCGAGGCGCCCGCAAATGAGCCAACACTTCGCCGCAACGTGCATGTTGTACCGGTCTTTGGCAGGGGTGATGGGCCTGCCCATGTGGGGCACGATTCGTTCACGTTCAGACTCTTCGACTGCCAGACCAACTCTAATTCATATTCGGAGAGCGTGAGCATGTCTCGAGCGAGGCCGGCACCGCCTGGGGCTCTTTCGCGGGCCCGTTCGCGCCCAGATTGCGGGGCTGTCTCGGGCGGCTTGCTGGACGTCGCGTTTTCAGAGTATCCTGTCAGGATGTCTCGAGCGAGGCGCTGCCTCCTCCTCCTCCTCCTCCTCCTCCTCCTCCTTTTCCTCCTCCTCCTCCTCCTCCTCCTCCTCCTCCTCCTCCTCCTCCTCCTCCTCCTCCTCCTCCTCCTCCTCTGGCCTCGGCATCTCAAGGGAGAGGCCGCCGATGGGGGGGCGCTTCACGGGCCCCTATGCGCGCTCGGGCTGCGGGGCTGGCTCGGGCGGCTTGCCCGTGTGGTGGCTTGGACGCCGAAGCACACAGGCCCCAGAGGGGGAGGAGGAGGAGGAGGAGGAGGAGGAGGAGGAGGAGGAGGAGGAGGAGGAGGAGGAGGAGGAGGGAGGAGGTGCATCGAGGCAAGCAGGCTGAGGGGACGTCTCGAGCGAGACGCCGCTTTCAGCACCCCAAGGGGGAGCCGCCAGGGCGTGCTTCACGGGCTCGTTCGCGCCCAGATTGGGGACAGTCTCGCGCGGTTTGCTTGCCTGTTGGCTTTGCAAAATCCAGTGCTTTCAGAACAGACTCTCGGGATGTCTTGCGCGAGGCCTTGGTGTCAAGCGGATGGCTTGTTTCGACGCCTCGGAGTCTTTTCTTTCGAGAGCTCCATGATCACCGCGATGTGGCATGCATGGCCTGGGGGGTTATTACACTGCGCGAGCAGTGGTATACATTCAAAGCGAGAACCCCACACAGGAGGCTTGGGAATTGCTGCACTACCTGCACCCAGAGGGCTGGTGGGATTAGAATAGTTTTTCGGGGGAGGGGGGGGACGCCTCGAGCCATCTCGAGGCCGTCGGATGTGTCCGTCTCCTGCATCCACACGCAGGAGCCCATGCTACGCTATGATATGCGCAGTTTGCGGCGATCTGCGTCACGTATCGGAGCCATCGAAGGCCTTGTCGGACATTCCAAAGGCCTTCGGCCCACCTGGTCCAGATTGCCGGCAGGGAGCAGGAAAGCATTCGGGAAGATTTGCCATCCAGAGTCCTCAAAGATCCTAGGCCCAGACGTTTCCAGGGCCGTCCTGGAGGCCATCTTGGGCGCCTTGAAGACCTCTTGGGCTATCTTGGGGTTGTCTTGGCGTCCTCTTGGCCCGTTGTGGGCCCATCTTGCAGGCTTCTTGGGCGACCTTTGGGCGATCCTAGTCCGTTCGCCTCAGGCCTGCAGATAACCAGAGAGGGGTGGTATCGAGTTGCACAGTTTCCACAACCCAGGGCTCGTTTTCCAGAAGCTTCAGAGGATCTGGCCCGAGTGGGAAGAGAGAGATGGACCCCTCCTCCACCTCCTCCTCCTCCTCCTCCTCCTCCTCCTCCTCATCTTCCTTAAACTCTGGTCGGGGTACGTTTCGTCTGGGGACCCCCACGGGTCGCCAAGCGCGCGCGAACTAGAAACATGCGTTAAATTGAGTTTATACTGAGTAAGAGTTTAACTTAAACTCTTACTAAATGCTTTAGCACGCCTCTGGCCCCTCAGGGCCGGCGAATCCGATTTTCTGTGGCAGCGTTGTCTGTGTGCCTTCTTGTGCCCGCTGTGGGGGAGACAGCCCTGGAGACGCTGCCTCTCCTTCCCTCCCCCTCGCCCCTGCCCACCCCCCAACCCTCCCCTCTTCCTCTCCTTCCCCCTACCCACCCCCCAATCCTCCCTACCCACCCCCCAATCCTCCCTCGTCCCTCCTCCTGCCTCCTCGCCCTCCTCCGCCGGGCCCCGCCGCGCCACCCGCGGCCCGCAGAAGCACTTCGGCCTGTCGAAGTACACGCCGCGGCTCCGCCTGCGCGCGCCTGCCCCCTCCGCCGCGTCGGAGCAGAGGTCTCGCGGTGACGACGATGACGACGACGACGACGACGACGACGACGACGACGACGACGACGACGACGACGACGACGACGGCGGCGGCGGCGGCGGCGGCGGCGACGTCGACGACGACGACGACGACGGCGGCGGCGGCGGCGGCGGCGGCGGTGGCGGATAGAGGGAGAACAAATGCTTGACGCTTCGCGTAACCCCAGCAGCCTCGCGCGCCCGGGAATTTAGTCGCGGCCGCAGCCCGACCGTGACTGCTCGCCGCCGGCGCTTCCGCCTGCGGCTGTAAAAAAAAAGTAACCCCAGCAGCCCATCCAGAGACGATGCCCACTTGGAGCGTCTTGGGTGCCTCGGGGAGCTTCTTGGGGGTCTATTGGGAAAATTGGAGGCCTCTTGGGGCCTCCTCGGTGCCTCTTGGGGCGCTCTTGGGGGGCTCTTGGAAGCAGCCTTGGAGGCACTCTTGGAGCCATTTTGGAGGAGATCGATGAGAAAAGGGTGGTACCTAAATAGCCTGGCCCCTCTAGAGTGCCTAAAATCGCCTCTTGGAGCGCTCTTGGGGCTGTCTTGGACTCTCTTGAGCCTCTCGTGGAGCCCTCAGGGGAGCTGGCTTGAGTTCTCGGAAGGCCATCGCAGGCGAAAAGGCGAGAAGGCACAATTCACTGATTACCCTTAAGTTTTTGAAGGATTTTAGCCTCTTGGCGGCCTCCTGGGGAGGCTCCATGGCAACTTGGAGCCATCTTGAAGCGGTCCTAGGGGCCTATTAGAGCATCTTGGCGTCCATCTGGAGCCATCTTGGGCTATCTTGGAGGTCATCTTGGGCTCTCCGAGGCCCTCTTGGAGCAATGTTGGGCCATCTTGGACGCTCCAACGCCTCGCGAAACCCTCCCTCCATGTCCAGGGGAGGGTGTAGGGGGGGGAGGGGCAGACCCCTTCCCGAAGGGGAAAAGGGAGGGGTTGGAAGAGAAACCGCTCTAGACCACCTACGCCCAGAGGGCTTGTGGGATTGTTCGACGTGTCCGTCTTCTCCCGGAGAGCCCTCGTCCTCACGGCTGGATACGCACCTAAGACTTGGTCGGAGCACGCGGGGCGATTGCCTTTGTGGGGAGGCCGGGGAGGGTCGACTGGGTCGACGAGGGGCCGTCTCGGTGTAAGGCCCCCCCCCCCTCGCAGGGTCCATTTCGATCCGATTGATTCGATATCGGTTGTGGCCGGTCCGATCCGAATCGATTCCTATGTTCCGACGATCCGATGCGGCCCGATGTTTGCAAGGCGTTTTGGCGCAAGCGATCCGATTCCGTGCCGATGCGGCCCGATCCGACGCACATTCCGACTCAAGCCGATTTGCCGGTTCGATGTTGATTGGTCTTGCCTTCGGAACGGGGGGGTACAGTCGACCCGCAGAATAAGGATGGGCAGCCTTTCCAAGGCTGCTCTTGCATCCTTAGGGGTACAAAAAGTGACATAAACATAAAAACTCGGCGGTCCGCGCGGATTTCTCGGATCGGCGCTGGGGCCCCCCCTCCACTGGCGCGCGGAGCGCGCCAGGGGCGGCGCCGTGGGGCCCAGGCCACGCCGCTGGGCATGGGGATCGGTGAAACCGTGCTCGTGCCTCCTTACCCGCGCACCCTCATCACTCAGGAGGAAAAGAAACACACAGACACAATTAATCCTCGATTCCCCCGAAAATATGGGAAAATATGGGAAGTGGGGGGAAGACAAAAAACCCAAAAATACAGGAAAATATGGGGAATCATTTGATTTGTGTGTATTTGTTTGTGTGTCCTGGGGCCCCTTCAATCACACGGGCTGACTGCAGCGGGGAGGAGGGAGGGGAGCGCGGGCAGTGGCAGGGGCCCCGGAGCCCCAGGATGGGCCAGGGCCGCCCTTGGCCTGGACCGCTCGCGGCGTGCAGCTGCCGGCGGCGCCGGCAGCGGTGAGCGCAAGAGCGCACCGTGCTCACCACTCGAAGAAGTGAGCGCCGACGTGAGGTCAAGTCGGGCCCGTCCCTCTACAGGAGGAATCATCAAGATAGTAAAAGAACATACTCTGGGGACGATGTGTCGAATATGTTTGCTCATTGTTTGAATATTTGTTTTTAAGTATTTGAAACTGTTCGCCAAATATCCCCCTGTAGGGGGACAGGCCCGACCTAAGGAACGTTAAACGGCCCCGCGCATATTTCGGCACACCCCTCATATGTTTTCCATGGCCCCACGGGAGCTCCACCTACGGTGTCAGTGGACGCCGACGTGAGGCGGCCCCGCGCATGATCTGGTACACCCCATCACAGGTTTCGTGGCCTCGCAGGGAGCTCCACCTACGGTGTCAACGGGCGCCGAAGTATTGCGTCGCAGCGCCCATTTCGGCACCATCAGCGGTATTCACCATTCGAAGACGAGAAGACGGCATAAACATAAACGTTCGACTATCCTAAAGGCGGGCGTGTCCCTCTACAGGGGGGAATATGTAACAATAGTTCGTCTTGCTTATAATTTATAAAAGTCTGGGGACGATGTTTTGATGATGTTCTGACTATGTTTGGTTATTGTTTGACTATGTTTTATTTGTCGTCCAAAATCCGCCTGTAGGGGGACACGCCCGACCTAAGACTATCCGCGCGGATTTCTTCGGTCGGCGCTTGGGCCCCCTTCGCGGCGCCTCCAGCGCCGCCTATGGCTCGCTCCGCGCGCCAGGAAGGAGGGTCCGGCGCCGATCCAAGAAATCCGCGCGGAGCTCAAAACGCTCACTCCAGATTTCGTACTAAAAGGGAGGGGGTCACAACGCTTCCAGACGAGCAGCTTTAGACCCCCCCCCCAGACCAGCCATAAAGGGTGGCCTTTTGCCCAGACCCCACTGGAACCCTCCAAGACAACTCAGATCAGACCCCCTTATCACGAAATCCTGAGCGTCTTTAAGCCATAGTTTCTTTTTCGAGTGCCGTCGGGGTATCCAGAAGCTGGTCTTTTTGGGGCTGCCACGGGCTTCGATCGGCTTCTGGCGGGAGCCCCATGGCTCGGTCAAAGGGAGTACTATGTAGAAATCTTCGCTGCAGTACAGCGTTATTCGGTTTAGGAGTTATTTGCTGTAGCGCGCACTGTATGCAAGTACAGAAATAATTTGGGACTGGCATGAATACTGCAGGCCCAGAATGCAAATGACATGATTAAAGCGTGACTTTCGAGAGCATCTGGAGTCTGAGGAGTTCGGAGGATTCGAGGATTTGGGAGTTGGGGAGGATTCTACGCGAGTAACAAAGTTGGGCGATATGTGGGAGTTAGGGAGGATTCTACACAAAACAAGCAGGAGTCGGGGAGGATTTTAGGAGCTGGGGGGCATATGACAGATGTGGAGGATTCTACACAGAACAAGCAAGAGTAGGGGAGGAGTTGGGAGTTGCGGAGGATTCTACACAGAAAAAAAAGCATGGGTTGGGGAGGATCTGCGAGTTGGGGAGGGCTCTACATAGAAAAAACAAGAGTTGGGGCGGATTTGGGAATTGGGGAGGATTCTACACAGAAGGAGTTGGGGAGGATTTGGGGGGTGGGGAGGATTCTACACAGAAAAACAAAAACAAAAAAAGAAGGAGTTGGGGTGATTCAACATAGACAAAAAACAGGAGTTGGGGAGGACTTGGGAGTTGGGGAGGATTCTACAAAGAAAAAAGCTGGAGTTGGGGAGGATTTGGGAATTGGGGGGGGATTCTACGCAGGAAAAAGCAGAAGTCGGGGAGGATCTGGAAATCGGAGAGGCTTCTACAGGTCCCAGGTCCCAGGTCCCCATGTAATATGCAGACGCCGCCCGATGTCACGAGTCGAGCTGCTTTTGTTTCCCTTTTGTCAGGAGGCGGCGGACACCCCGCCTCGCTCCGCAGCCTTCCCGGTTCCATGTGTCTGCTCCTGTCTTCCGGACGACGGCTGCTTGCCTTGCCTTTCCAGGCAGGGGCGCCGCCCCCCGAACCCCCCGAGGGCACCCGCCTGCTGGTGGGCTGGAGCTTCAGCCTGCTCCTCCTCCTCCTCCTCCTCCTCCTCCTCCTCCTCCTCCTCCTTCCTCCTCCTCCTCCTCCTCCTCCTCCTCCTCTCCTCCTCCTCCTCCTCCTCCTCCTCCTCCTCCTCCTCCTCCTCCTCCTCCTCCTCCTCCTCCTCCTCCTCCTCCTCCTCCTCCTCCTCCTCCTCCTCCTCCTCCTCCTCCTCCCCTCCTCCTCCTCCTCCTCCTCCTCCTCCTCCTCCTCCTCCTCCTCCTCCTCCTCCTCCTCCTCCTCCTCCTCCTCCTCCTCCTCCTCCTCCTCCTCCTCCTCCTCCTCCTCCTCCTCCTCCTCCTGAGGCAGCACTCTTCCGGCCGCTGGGGCCGCAGAAGGGTGGCGCGCAGGAGTCCGCGGTGGCGGCGCTTCTTTCCTTCGCCCCGCGAGATGTTCGATGGCCACCTCTCCCTGGGCGAGGGCACCAGGGTGTCGCTCGCAGAGCACCCACGGGAGCCTCCTCCCCTTCCTCGGCAGCGCGTCGTGCTTCCTCACGACCTCGCCACCCTGGCAGCGCGAAGGCCGCTGGGAGCCCCAGCGGGGACGGGTCAGCCAAGGGGCCGCAAGCGTTGAGTCGGGCATGTCCCTCCACAGGAGGAAGCTCCAAACATAGACACAGGAGATATAATAGTGAGGGGACGCTGGTTCGACTACTTCTGACTATGTTTGAATCTGTTTGCTTCTCTCTCCCCTCTCAAAATCCCCTTGCGGGCGGACGTACCCGGCCTAACGCGCGGGGGCCCCCGCTTGCCTGCCCGTCTGGAGACTCCGGCACGGGCGGGCGCGACCAGGCCGGCCCGTGCTTCTGCGCTGCAGTCAGCCCGCACAGTGAGGACGAGCGGCTTCCCAGTGGCACCCTCGCACAAGTCAGGAGGGAAAGAAGCACACAGACACAATTCATCGGTGATTCCCCAGAAAATATATGGGAAAAGATGGGGAGTGGGGGGGAGGACCGAAACCCAGAAGATATGAGAAAATGTGGAGACTATTTTTATTTGTGTGTATTTATTTGTGTGTCCTGGGGCCCCTTCAATAAGATAATTTCACTTTTAGTTGGGCGTGCTGATCGCCGAGCATGCGGCGATCTTAACCCGGCCGGCCAATCGAGCACGATCGGTCTTTGGTTGTGGACGGGTATGGCCCCCATGACGGGAAGCGGATTTCCTTTGGGGGTGGGGGAAAAAAACAAAACAAAACAAAAAAGTGGTACCTTTGCATCTGTGCCTTTTCGGTCATCTTCGGTCCATCCTCAGCCACTCTCGATGGCCAGCCCCGCTCGAAGAGCCTCGACATAGGCGCCAGGGCCCCTTGCATCCTTGCCGCACGCATCCTGACTTATCGGTCGTTGAGAGTAGGTAGTTCTAGAGTCCCAGGCTCCCGTCCAAAGCGCCTTCCTACTTCAATGATCGAGTGGCTTCACCTTTCCCGTCCTCTTTGGGGGGCGGGCGGACACCAAGTTTATTGTCAACGCTGTCCTACTTCATTCAGGAGGGAAAGAAACACACAGACACAGTCAATCGTCGACTCCCCAGAAAATATAGGAGAATATGGGAAGTGGGGGGGAAGACGGAAACCCCCAAAAACATTGGAAAATATAGGGGAATCGTTTTATTTGTCTGTATTCATTTGTGTGTCCCAAGGCCTTTTCAATCACACGGGTGGACTGTACGAGCTTGTCCTGCTCCACCAGTCGGCCCGATGGCCAGGCCCTGCCTCGGCAGACCCGCTCGGGCCAGTCCAGAGGCTGACACTCGAGGCATGCCAAGCATGCTGATCTCAGGGCCGCCGTGATCGTACACGCCGGTGGGTGAAAGTAGGTATTTTTGGATTCCCAGATCCCAATCTATTTCAAGCGCCTTCCTACTTCAAGGATCGGCATGTTTTTGCTGTGTGTTGTTATTTTCTGGGAGGACCTGGGCCCAATCCACTATATCCGCCTTCCCACTCCATGTTTCTACCTGCTTCTTCCGACCGACGTGTATGTTCTCTGAGTTGCTGGGCGATCTGAGCTGTGTCCTGTCGCGCATTCCGCACACATCCATCGATGCTCTGTTGTTGCTGGGCGTCGATCTGATGGTCACCACCTTTTGGACTGCAGTTGCGTTTTTGTGTGTGTGTGCGGCATGGATGCTTCGTCGTTGGAGAGGCTTCACCCAGCATGATGAGATCACGTCAGGTGGTTACTGCATGTGCATACGACGTCTGTAACGCACACAGCGGCAGGTGTTGGAAATGCAAAGAAGTGGCATGTTATCTGGCCGCGTGGGCGGAGGCAGAGCAACCATTTCGTCGTGTTCGACCGATACTTCTCGGCAGCGGCAACTGCGATGAATCAGACATGACGAAGCATGGCCCTCGCATGCGTCAAGTCATCCCCAATGCAGATATCGCGCTGGTTGGCGATGTCAATCCGTGTGCTAGTCTGGAATGCTGGGTATGTGTCTGGACATGAATGGAACCAGTGGGCCATTGTAGGCGTCATGTGCTCGCATGTCTTAATGAACACTGTTGCTCACTCTTACCTCCGATACCCAACTCGTCGCGGAAGCACGGCTGGACAGATAAGTATATTGAGTCGCGGCTTTGCTTGGGCTATCTCTAGAGCCTTCGGGGGGCGTTCGGTGCCTTTTCGGGCCCGCGTGAGGCATCATTTAATTGAACGTCCCTGCGGGGGCAGATACCGCCGCCCCACCATGTTTGGATCGTGGAATTCGTGGAAGGGGGGGGGGGGGGGGGGGGGGGGGCGGGGGGGGGGCAAAACGGCGCCAGAGAGGGTATTTGGGGTCCTCTTCGGACTCCGTTGGGGCGTCTCGGGGCCCTATTGGGGCCTTCTTGGGGGTCTCTTTGGCTCTTCGTGGGAGTTTTATGGAGCATCTTGGGCCATGTTGCAGAGCATTTAACGGGCCGGGAAAAAGCAGTCCTAGTTAGATTTTGGTTCCTAGAGGGAGCCCCGGCAACAAGAAGGCGCCCCAGGCAACCGAGAAGTGCACCAGGAAGGCGCCCAGACGGCCGAGGAGGGCCCGCAGAGGCTGTGAGGACGGCCGCAGAGAGCATCCGCATGCTCCAAGGTGGCCGCAAGAGCCCGCAGAGATGCACGGGAGCTCGAAGCGAGGTGCTTGCCGTCTTGCTTAGGGTAGGACGACGAGCGAACAACACACATTAGAGTGAGCGAAGGTACCCACACCTCTACCCGTCGGCCGCTTTCCCCTTCTTGGGCCTCCTCCTCCTCCTCCTCCTCCTCCTCCTCCTCATCCTCCTCATCCTCCTCCCTCCTCTGAGACGTCGGAGATCTGGGCACGGCGGGCAGCGCAAGGTAGGAGGCGGAGAGGGGAAGGGATCAGAAGAGGAAAAGATACCCATACCGCTACCTTACTCTCGTGATCCCCCTGTCAGGCCTCCTCGGAGGCCCTCGTCGCCGCCGCTGGACTCGCCTCGGGAAATTCTGGTCGGAATGCCCCCCGGGGCAGCTCCGGGGAGTAGCGGCATCGGGTATCCCCAAACGCACACCCATGAGGAGGACCTCACGAGGAGGACGACGAGCGAACATCGAAGAAGAGACAACGGCATAAGCATACACGAGCAGGCCAGAATCGTCAAAATCTGATGCGTTTGATCATGTGTCTTGCTTGTTGTGGTTCTCGCGAGCGTGTGATTCGGGCGAAGGTGGAGAGACATCCGGGACGGCCCGGGGGGGCCCCCACGACGGTCAAGGTCAGCCCAGCAAGGGCCTCGAGAGGCCCACGCAGCCGGCCCAGGAGGCTCCCATAGAGAGAGAGCTCCGAGCGGGCCCGGTGGCGCCCGGAGGCCCAGCACTTCGGGAGCCTCGAGACGGGGGTCAGTGCAAACGGGGGTCAGCCAGGGCACCGGATCCTGCAGGATCCTGCGAAGACCCCCTCTGGCTGACCCGGGTTAGCGAGCCGCTCGTGGCCGCGAGGCGGCCGCGCCTAGTGGCCGACCCGGGTCTGCGAAGACCTGCGCTGCAGTTTTTGTGTTCCTGCACTGCAGTTGTTTGGTTTCCTGCTGACCCGGGTCTGGATTGACCCGGGTCAGCAGGGAACCGAAGCACATGGAAGAGGGGGCCTCCTGTGGGGCGGCGGTGGTGGCCAGAGGGCGCCCCCGCCACAGCCCAGGCCCTCGGGCCGGCGGAAGGAGCGGGCCGCGGAGATGACCCCTAGGATTGAGTCGGGCCTGTCCCCCCACAGGGGGATTTTCCACGAGAAATCAAACATATACTTCAAAAATACCCCAGAAAGGTCCAAAGATACTCAAAAAATAGTCCCCGGACTATTTTTGGATTCTTCTGGGGGCAATTTTCTTCTTTCGTCGAAAATCCCCCTGTAGGGGGACACGCCCGACTTAACCCTAGGAGGGGTTGCGTGGGCTCAGAGGCAGGGGTCGGTAAGAAAAGCGCGCTGGGGAAAGGAGTTTACAGAAAGCATTCCCTGCAGACCACGCGGGGGATCTCACACGCCGTGCCCGGTGGGGCGGCGGATCGCTTCGCTCATTCTGCGGGCCCATTTCGCATCACCTTGGCTGCGTGGTGGTGTGCTTGTGCCCAGGGGGAACTGTAGGGCAGGCAGGACGGTATTCGAGGAGATTTTTGGAGATGTGGCTCGCACCCAGTCGAAGAGAGCCGGCAGACTACCCCAGAGGCGCCAAGATGGCTCAAGAGAGCTCCAGAAGAGTTTCGACACGTACCTGAGTTGTGGGTCAAAGTCGTCATGGATGCTCCTTGAGTTTTTTTCGGAGGAAGCCTCTGGGGAGCAGTTTAGAGGCCTCTGGGGAGTCTCTTGGGGGGGCTTCTTGGGGGTGCCTCTTGGGGCTTCCCAGGGGCCTGTTGCGAGTCTTGGAAGCCTCTTTGGGAGCCTTTCGGGAGCCTCTTGGGGGGCTCTTGTGGGCCTCTGGGGGCTTTCTGGGCGCCTCTTGGGGCCGAGGGCTCGAAGGGTCTGCTCGGGTTCCCCCTCTGGGCCACCTCTTGGGGCCATCCTGGTGCCGTCCTGGAGGCCTCTTGGGCCGTCTTAGGGCCATCTTGGGCCATTTGAAGGCCACCTTGGAGGCTTTTCGGGCTGTCTTCGAGCGAGCTTGAGGCCTCCTGGGCCGTCCAGGGCGGTCGGCAGCTCGAAAAGGCGGTACCGCCAAAATCCAAAATCGCCACTGGTGTTTACGTTTTCAGGCCTCTCGAAGTCCTCTTGGAGCGTCTTGGGCGCTTGTTGGGCCGTCTTGGGACCAACGTGGGCAATCTTGGAACGCTCTTGGCCTGAGGCCGTGGGGCGTGCCACCCTTTTGGCGCCTCATTGGGGCGCTTGGGGGACCCCTGAGACCGCACCCAGGAGTTCCGGCATCTCTGGCGGGACCTTGCCAGCATGTTTTTCGTCTGGGGAACCCCAGGGGTCGCCACGCGCGCGCGAACTAGAAACATGTTTTCAATTCTGAACGGAGATTTTAGCATTCCTCTGGCCCGCTGGGCCGGCGAATTCGACTTTCTGTGGCGGCTCTCTCTGTGCCCTCTTGTGCCTGTTGTGGGGGAGACAGCCATGGAAACGCTGCCTCTCTTCCCTCCCCCTCCCCCCTACCCCCCCGCAATCCTCCCCTCTTCTTCCTCTTCTTCCTCCTGCCCACCCCCCAGTCCTCCCTACCCACCCCCCAATCCTCCCTCGTCCCTCCTCCTGCTTCCTCCTTCCCCCCTCCTCCGCCTGCTCCTGCTCCTGCCCCTCCTCCGCCTGCTCCTTCTCCTCCTCCTCCTCCTCCTCCTCCTCCTCCCTCCTCCTCCTCCTCCTCCTCCTCCTCCTCCCTTCTTCTTCTCCTCCTCCTCCTCCTCCTCCTCCTCCTCCTCGTCCCTCCCTCGTCCCTCCTTCCCCCCCCCTCCCTCCTTCCCCCCTTGGCGCCCCTTCGCGCCCCGCCCGCGAGGCGACGCAGAAGGCCTCCCCGGCGGAGGGCTCCCGCGCGGGCCCGCTGGAGACCGCCCAGCGCCGGAGGGATTATTGCGCCCCCCCCCCTTGGCCTGGAGTTCGTGTTAAGTCGGGCCGGTCCCCCTACAGGGGGATTTTCGACGAAAAGTAAAATTACCCCAAAAGTAATCCAAAAATAGTCTGGGGATTATTTGTTGCGTAGTTTTTGACCTTTTGGGAGTATTTTTGGTGTATTGTTTGTTTTTCATCAAAAATCCCCCTGTAGGGGGACACGCCCGATATAAAGTTTGGGCCTCCCCCCTCTCGGGCCGAACGGCTCCTGTGGAACTTGTCATGATTATTATGGACGTTCAGGGTTACCTTGATCATCGCCATCGTCAGCGTCTTCATAATTATGCTGAGATCTCCGGGGAAACGTGTATCAGCCCCCCTGGACCCCGAACTTTCTTGTCCCCAGGGGGTTCGTATCCGGAGCTGGCGGTTATGTCTCCGTGCGTCCCAAACGACCACCGACCCTCAGGCCGAACGATAGGGGGGATAGGGAGAGGGGGGTCTACGAAATCTGCTGCATGCAGCTGGTTTCGGCCCCGCTGCCGGGCCCCGTCCTCGATACATGGGCGCCTCCGGGCGCCGGGAGGCGCCGGGAAAATCAGCTACGTGAGCTGATTCTCAAACTCCCCCTTTGCTATCCCCCCCTTTCGCCCGGCCCGACCCTCCCTTCTCTGAAGGAGTCGACAGGATGGAATTGTTGATCTACGGTTTCTTCGTCATTCTCGGGCGCCTGGGGGGGGGGGCGCCCTTGCCGCCACGGCTGGACCTGCCGTGGCGACCCTGGCACCCGAGGCCAGGTCTCTGAACAGGATGGCCCAGGCCTCCAGGCGTGCTGGAAGAAGGCACGCACGGCCGATGGCTTCCCTCCGTGGGGCCCGGGGTCGTGTCCAGGCCGTGGCGCCGCCGACCGAGCGCCCAGGTACAGTGGGCACGCCAAGTAAGAGCTCAGCCTACCAGCAGGCGTGTCACAGAGGTTTCCGTTTCCCCAACGGCCCTGGGCGCCCAGCGGAGCTCATTGGCTTCCCAAGAAGTCCAGAATCGATCGAATGTGATGCCCTGATGGATTTCTTGGACTTATCACGACAAGATTTCTCTTCACGTGCGCACCCACTGTGCAAGAGGCGGCCCCAGGTGGGGGTCCGAGAGCCCCGGGGGTCAGCAAGAAAAGACCCCAGCGGTCTGGGGCCGAGGCGCAGGACGGGGGCATGGACCAGCAAGAGGGGGAGGGCGGCGCAGGGGACTCGGGCCTCTGGTCGCCGGCGGGGGCGAACAAGAGCGCGCCCTTCGCACGTTTCGCAAAGATGAATGAGGGGGTCGAGGGTTGAAGGCAAGAAGCCTTACAAGGGGCCCCGGCGGTGCGCGACAGGTCCACCTTTATTCTCCCCCCCCGTACCAGTTAAGCAGGTTAAGCAGCGCTCGAGCTTTGGTGGTCGTTTCCTTATTCGTTGCTTTGCCGATCGGCGCAGGCCCTCGCACTCCCTCCCCCCCACCCCAGGGAATAGATCTTGCCTCTTTTTGGCGCCTGCTTCAGGCAGGCGGAGTCTCTCCCCTGGCACGCACTGCTGCAAAAACAGCCGCATGAAGCAGAGGTCCAGAGCCAGACCCTCCACCTCCCCCCCGTTTGCCGCACAATGTCGAAACGCCGAATGAGAAAACGTTCACCTAGTTTTCGGTGGCGAGCGAGGGGGGGAAATGCGAAGGGGCGGGCCTTCTTGGAAGGCTCGGAAGTCCCCTGGCCCTCTGAGAAGCTTTTTTGAGCCTCTCCCGCAAACACAAAAAAAACTTTCAGAAGGCTGGAGGCCTTCTGAAAAGCCCCGCCGCCTTCTTAGAAGGCCTTCTCCTTCCTCGCTCGCTCGCCGAGGTCGTTGCCGAGGTTTTGCTCGCCCTTCCTGGCATCCGCGCCGCCTCTGGGGGGCCCTGGGGGGCCATGCCACCGAGAGAGCACGGCGAGAGGTCGGCGTTTGGGCCCGGGGACCAGCGCTTCGGATGGACTCCTCCTCCCCCTCCTCCTCCTCCTCCTCCTCCTCCTCCTCCTCCTCCCTCTTCCTCCTCCTCCTCCTCTCCTCCTCCTCCTCCTCCTCCTCCTCCTCCCTCTCCTCCTCCTCCTCCTCCTCCTCCTCTCCTCCTCCTCCTCCTCCTCCCCCTCTTCCTCCTCCTACTCCCCCTCCTCCTCCCCCTCCTCCTCATCCCTCCTCCTCCTCCTCCTCCTCCTCCCCCCTCCTCCTCCCCCTCCCCTCCTCCCTCCTCCTCCCCCCTCCTCCTCCTCCTCCTCCTCCTCCTACTCCTCCTCCTTCCTCCTCCTCCTCCTCCTCCTCCTCCTCGGTGCCAACGAGCTCACGCGGCCTTGGCAGGTACCAAGATGCATTTCCGCACTGGAGCCGCAGTGCCTTGGCCACGGTGCCTGGGCCATCACGATTCGCTGGCACAACCCATGCGGTATGGACCCAGATGGCCCCAGGCCATGCCCTACATCGGGCCACCGTGCCCTTCAGGGTGGTGCTCCAGGAAACTGGACCCACCAACGGGCAAGCTCCTCCTCTTCATTCTCCTACTCCTCCTCCTTCTCCTCCTCTTCCTCCTCCTTCTCCTCCTCCATTCCTTTTCCTTATCGATAACTTCTCCCTTTCGCACCCCGAGGCCAGTGTTAGGGCGGGCTGGGCGTTTCGCCTGACTTAAAAATGGCACCGGCTTCTCAGATGGTGGGCGGGTGGTTTTCAAAATGTGGTTCTCGCCTTAGCGCGGCGCACATTCGTTGTAAAGCCAGAATTTCACGAATTGAGGGCGGGTGGTTTTCAAAATGTGGCTCTCGCCTTAGCGCCGCGCACACTCGTTTCAAAAACTACAAGAGCTTCACGGATTGAGGGCGGATAGTTTCAAGATGTGGTTCTCGCCTTGGCGCCGCGCACATTCGTTTTAAGAATTGAATAGAGGTTCACGGATTGAGGGGGGTTCCATTTCAAAATGTGGTTCTCGCTTTAGCGCCCTTCACACTTGTAGAAAACATAGAAGAGTTTCACGTATTCCCATGATCATCGTACCAGAAATTGCGTTTTGGAAGGATTCAGGATTACGCGGGTGCAACAGTTATGTTGATTCGCGGTGTTGAAATATTCCAACATCATTGATGACTCTTGGGTTTACACTGCTCTTCCTCATCCTCTTCCTCCTCCTCCTCCTCCTCCTCCTCCTCCTCCTCCCCCTCCTCCTCGTCCTCCTCCTCCTCCTCCTCCTCCTCCTCCTCCCCCTTCTCTTCCTCCTCCTCCTCCTCCTCCTCCTCCGCCCTCCTCCGCCTCATCCTCCTTCTTTTCCTCCTCCTCCTCCTCCTCCTCCTCCTCCTCCTCCTCCTCCTCCTCCCTCCTCTGAGTCGTCGGAGGTCTGGGCACGGCGGGCAGCGCAAGGTAGGAGGCGGAGAGGGGAAGGGATCAGAAGAGGAAAAGATACCCATACCGCTACTTTTCTCTCGTGTTCCCCCTGTTAGGCCTCCTGGGGGGCCCTCGTCGCCACCGCGGGATTCGCCTCGAAGTGTTGGTTAGAACGCGCCCCCGAGAGGTCCGGGGAGTAGCAGTATTGGTGCCTCTTGGTCCCCCCAGTAGGGGGCGGAGGGGGGAAGGGGGGCAGCGGCAGAAGGGGCGGGAGCAGCAGGAGGAAGTGGCTGGAGGCGGAGGAGCACCAGGAGAAGGAGGAGCAGGAGGAGGAGCACGCATGGCCAGGTCGAACGAACCGGCCACGCGCACAGGGGGGCAGGGGGAGGGGGGAAGGCTTCGTTGAAGCGACCCCTGCTCCTTAGAAGGCGCGGGCCTGATCTAGAAATGTAAGGTCGGTGCCCTCGAAGAAGCAGCCTGCTTCTAGAAAGCTTCTCCCCCTCCCCCATACAACCCCCCTCCTGCGCGCCGACATAAGAGAACGAACGAGGAGCAAACCGCCTGTCGACTGTATCTTTCTTCTAACCTTTTCCCTAATGCGCCCCTGCCTTCCCGTTGGATTTTGCCACGGGGAGGCGGCTGGACAGGTGTGCACGGCCACAGGAGACCCACAACGGCCACGAGCGAGCGAGCGAGCCTGTCGGCTGTCCGTCCGAGCAGCGCGCAGTGGCCCCCATGACCTGTGGGTCTCCTCGTCGCTCCGGGCTGTGCGTGTCGCTGCGCACACGGCGGCGCGAGTGGCCCCCTGGCTCGCGCCGCGCCTCCCAGGCGCCGCCCGCCCCTGCCCTCACCGAGGGCGCCAGGCCCAGCACCCTCGGTAAGAGGAGGAGGAGGAGGAGGCGGAGAAGGAGGAGGAGGGCGGGAGCCCGGGCTCAGGCCGCTTCCAGACGGAGGCTGCGAGCCAGAGCCAGGCGGCCCTCGGCCGCTATCTTCCTTGCCCCCTCGCCCAGAGCAATGGATCCTCCTTGGCGTGCAGGTCGGCCCCGCCGCACAGCCCGCGCTCGGCGCGAGCAGGCTGCGCGTGCGCAGGCCCGGGCCGCACAGACGTTGCTGAAGAGTTCTGCCTCCCTGCACCACAGAGGCTGCCAGGCCACCCGGATTGGTGCAGCACTGGCCGCTGCTTTACGGCTTCTGGTTCCACCTGCTGCCCGTCACGCTGCACCAGCTGCGGAGCCTCCTCCAGTGCCGCCTGCTCCACCACCTCCTCCAGCGCCCATCGAGCCGCCCAAGGACGAGCAGCTGTGCACTCCTGCCGCCATCCTCGAGGAGAGCATTGGCGAGCACTCCACTCTCGGGCGCAGGCGCAGCACGCCTATCCCGAGCCGGGCGAACTCTGCAGGGGGAAGCTCGTGCCATTCCGCAGCGAGTTCTGTCGCCCCTCTAGCCGCGATGGAGCACGAGGTGCCCGCCGCCGCGACAGTTGAGGCGGAGCCACTGCAGGACAGCCAACGGGCTGCCAAAGGAGCAGCGGACGCAGACCAGCAAGGACCCGCGGGGCAGGCGCTTCAGACGGGAAATCCTGCTCGCGTGCTGCTGGAAGGTCAGGCAGTGCGCATCGTGGGCATCAAGGGCC